TTTTTTGTGCATGTTGTTCTGTTTTTAGGATCCTTTACTAAAACGACCTAACCCTGCTCCTGTATCTGTACCCTATTTGAGCCCCTTGGTACTGCATAARGAGCTTGAATCACTGTTGGAGAATGAGGGAGAGCAAGTAGTTCATACATCCAAATTCATCAATCAGCACCCCATAATCTTCTGGAACCTAGTYTGGTACTTCCGAAGGTTGGATCTGCCTAGCAACCTACCTGGACTCATTTTAACATCTGAACACTGCAATGATGGAGTGCAGGTAAATGGCTTCCTCATGTTAGAACAGCAGGTATTGCTGTGAGTTAAATTGGAGTTCAAATAAACTGGGTAGGTAGTTTCTGAATAGCTGAATATAAGTTCTTGGGCTTTTATAATACAAGTAGATGGGTTTGTTTTCTACAAGGATTCTTGAAGGGGGATGAATGAAAACAACGTTCAAATGCTAGTCAAGGTGGTCTCTCTTAAAAAGCCAGAGAGTAACATTAATTGAAGAATAGGAAGGAAGGTGGTAAATTTTTCTTGCCTGGTAATTCTTATTGTATTAATGATTCCAGAGGCACTTAATTTTATRAATTAACTGTTTATAACTGTTAGAACTGTTGTTTTGTCTGCATGTATTTTTAAGGGAAATAAAYAGTTCATATTTGTATGCATATGAAAATCTTTTTTGCTTTTTGGGATGGGCAACACAAAGACATGCATACCAGAATGTTCACCAGGTCAGGAAATACCGTGGTGGGGTATGGTATGATAAGTAGTATAGCTCAAGTAAGGTGTTTGGTGCACGAAAAATATTTCCAGATAGATATTCATAAATATTTTCTKCAGATGCCTGTAGAAAGCTAAATGGTCTTAATGCATTAGGATAAAAGAGAAAACGTAATKAAATATTGCTGTACTTGTGACTGCTCTGGTTGAGTGCAGTTTACTGTAAAAGATATCATCTGCTTCTGTTTGTTAGATTCAAGTTAAGTAAATCAGCTTCATCTGCAAAATTTGTAAAAGAGCAGGGTTTTTAAAGAATGTTTACACTACTAGTGTTTTCAAAACTGTTTCATTTCCCTCATGTTTTTTAGCTTCCTTTGACATCTCTTGCTCAGGAYAGCAAGCTAGTATACATCCATCTTCTATGGGACAATATCAACCTCCACCAAGAACCRGGGGAGCCCCTGTATATATCTTGGAGAAATCTCAGTAAGTAAAACAAATACTGCAGAAAACAGAGGCAGCAGAGATGTGGAAAGAAACCAYTGTTTCATAGTGGCTGAAGTGTATGAAGCCCATCAATTTGAAATTTTTTTTAATATGTGAAGCATGTGCAATCTCTTAGGTACTTCTCATAGTCTAGGTATCAATTAGTTGTGAAAATAAGTTTAATCTATTCATCATATGTTATACATTTATAGATAGGGTGGGAGAAATTGCTGATTTCTCTAGATATACTRTCTAGAGGTACTAAATGAGCCTCCCCTGATTTGAAGGTTTCACTGCGTTATCTGGGGAAAGCCATGCAGGCATGTACAAGAAAGCTGTATTACAAAAGAGTATCTTTTTTTTCTGTAGATTAATGAARCATTACAAGTGCCATTAATAGGTACATTTGTCACCCCTCTTGTCAAAAAGTAAGGTCTAAGAAAGCCTTTGCATAGCATGAAAACTGGCAGACTGGTTATAAGAAATTCAGGATTTCATTGCTTCTGATCATGAAAAAACCTTTGTTGACCTAAACTTTTGAGTCTATGTTTTAATTCTTAAAAACTGCACTAAAAGCAGTTAGTGCAGACTGTAATGTAGTGTGATAATTTTAGTTTTAAGGCATTAAAAACAAATTAAATTATTGAAAAATGTCCTAAAAATGAAGACACTGATCAGAAAATCRCAGTCAAGATTACAGAACATATGGTATTTCCCTCAGATTCTACAAAGCGTATTGATTTAACCACAGTAGATGAAAAGCATTCCTACATCATCTAACGATGTRTGAAGATGCACAAATATATATATAGATGTAAAAAGAGGAGCAAAAGGCCTGTTTTTTATGGAAGAAACAGGCAAGGGGCCTGGTTTAAAYGTGGCTTTGTTGATAGGCCATATAGCAGTGTCAGAAAATATTTTGAAAACACAAAATTGCATTTGTATAACATCATGTATGTCAAGTTTTTGAAAACATCATGTTGATGTGATGAAGATTACTAGACTTGGTCTGCAATTCATTTACACACCATGTGCTTACTGCCTAATCTGTAGACTTACATMTTTGCCAGTACACAGACATACTATTTCCTCATTAATCACTGTTTTCCGGAAAACACTAGTTMAGTGTTATTCTGAACATGGCATTTTAAGTAACAAATCATAATGGTAAATGTCTTGATCATTTTCTTTCCTGTTTGATTCAATGGTGCTTTAACTATTTCAATATGTATCCAAAAGCTACCAGTTAATTGTAGGTGGCTTTTTAGGRGGGTTTTGATAAGAAAAGTTTCTTTGTTAAGAAAAGTGATACTTCTGTTTCTTCTCCGTTGTGTAAAAATTATTCCYAAGTGAACTTAAAAGTTGTCACAGTTAGCTTAATTTTTAAATACAGCAAGAAATSTGAGCTAACCAACCATCACAGGCAACATCTGATTCTGGGTATTCTTCTCRTATTTCTCTGTCATGGGGGATCTCTTGCCCATGGATACTTGATACATCTTGTTTCTTTTGGGTAAAGTTACTTTAGAGTGAAGACTGTAAGCAGACAAAGTCTTTCCATTATAACAAATTCCTGTAGATTGAGTAGAGGTTCTCTATGTATCTCGCTTAATAGTCTATATGGTTGCACTTCCCAGATTCTTCTGAAAAAAGACCCTCCACACTGGAAGAAGATCAGGAGGCAACAAACACTTTGTTAGACAACATTAAACTAAGTATTCAACACAATGATGTYATTAAGCCCATCAACCTCCTCCTACAGAAAGTTAAGCCAGATGTGAAACGACAGAGGTAAAGAGATAGTATCTTCTTTGTTTTTCTCTGCACTAAAAATTAGATCAGACCATATACCTTTCTAGTGTTGATTTCATAACGACCTCTGGAGAAGATTTGGTTTCATTTATGTCCACCAAAACCATGCATATTTTTATGCCCATGCTTACAAACAGATGCACTCTGTATCCAGATGCATAGTTCATCCAGATCAAATGGATGAAATATGATTCTTTAGTAAAAATGGATGTTTTACAGATGARTAAGGAAAATGCTGGTATTAATTTAATAGCTTTTTATGTTGTTCCAGATCTAGCAAATTGATAAATGCAAGTGTACTGCATCCTGTTGCAGTGAGTGTGAAATATTSTCCCTAGTTATGTCTTTTGAATCTCTAGCAGTAATTGGAGTGCTATCTATGTGGTATGCATAGTGGATGCAGCATGATCCACAAAGAGAGAAAGACATGTAAATAATTGTTGTAGGGTATATTTTGTAACCTGCACTGCAGTTCAAGCAAAGCTTTGTACAAAAGCACAGGCTCTGAAGTAAATTGTAGCAGAAAAAAGATATCTTTGAAGTCTGTTATGCTAAGTCATCTTTATTCTGTGTTTTGTAGTTACTAAAAAGAAACACAAACTGATCTGCCTAGAGAAGCATCTTCATGAGTTCCACAARGGAAACAAATAATATCTGATTATTTAGTGGTATCCATTTCTGTGATAGAAATGGCATTCTGAAACAAAAAATTATGAGTGATCTGAAAAAAAGCCATACCCACACAATGCTTCATGGTCAGGCCAGAATGAATTAATAATAAATAAGAAAGTGGTGTTTAATTTCATATTTCTTGTTTGTTTAGCATTTCTATAGCAGAGGAATTTTTCATAGAAAATGTAACTGCTAGGATCTGGCAATAATACAGCTTTCTTCATTAAGTAAAAGTATTCATGCATCAGAAAACCTTAAGCTAGTAGTCTTGTAGATTGATCACTTTCTTCACAAGCAAGGTTAACAGAACAGTTGCAGAAACTACACAATGGAAGTCTTCAATATTGACTTTGTAAACAGAATAGTCGGTGCTTTCATTAACTGACCCTTCAAAATATTCCCCTAGGAGTTTTTACAGGGAAATTCTTTTCCTGTCTCTGGTGTCTCTTGGAAGAGAAAATATTGACATTGGTAAGTAAAAAATACTGTGAAATGCGTAGTGCCTGTGGATATTTTTTATGAAAGCTAGTGTACAAAACTGACTTTTCATCTGTGAGTTTGTAAGATTCAGTTGTGTTGTAGTGAAAAGTACTGGGCTGTCAGTTTTTAGATGTTGCTTTTATGTAAATGCAATTCAGATGGGACCATTAATTTACACTTTGTTTGAAATAATGGGTTACTTTTAAACAAAGACTGTTGAAGAGCTTGAAGCTTTCATTCCTCATGTCTGAAAGCTTGTTTCTAGTCTTGTCTTTCTCCAACCCACATACTAGACCTTTGTTATCCAAACACCTGGTTTCCTACCCTCTCCTCTTCTCTCCTATCCTGGCTTCTATTTGATACTATGCAATCAAAGTGACTTCCTCATGKAATAGGGGAAATACATTAGGAGCATAAGGCAAATGGAACTGTGAAAGAAGCAATGTGTGTCTGCTGTGATGGGTTGTGGTGTCACACCATCTTATGGAGATGTTTTTCAGGTCCTCTGAGAAGGTGTCTTTTGAAAAAAAAAATCTGCATCTAGTTAGTGAAGATAATTTTGTTACTACATAAAAATAATCAAAAGCATTTTATAGGAATAGTAGTGTGTATTGTACACTGTTTCTTAARTAACCTCGACTGTGCTTTTTCTATTTCAGAGGTCTTTGATAGTGAATACAGACTTGCACTTGAAAAACTACCAAGTGAAGTTCTTGAAAAGATGCAGAAAATAGATGCTCCACCAAGCAGCAGGGTTGAGTGTTGCAGGAAGTGCTTTGGAGCACCTCTAATATAAAAACAAGAAAGGTGCACACTAAACTTTTGAGAGACAGAAGCAGAGGTGAACAAACCAGAAGCATGGCAATATATACACTTTTGAATCCCAAAAAGTGTTAATTGGGCAATTTGTCAAAGCAATTTCACTGAGCTGCAATGTATATTCTTCTCTTTCATCTCATAGGCACATTGTAAAGTATGTCAAAATGTTTTAAAGTTATGACTTCATTTCAGTGTTTGATCTGCTTTGTCCCCATATATATTCTTTAATTGGTTCAAAAAGGTGATGGCTAAACAGCAGTCTACAGTTGGAGACTTTCTTGAGGGCCAACATTATTTGTGTATTTKAATTAAATACTTTTCCAGTACTCAGATTCTTCACTGCTTCTTTAAAATAGTCTTTACCTAGAGAGGGATCCTTCGATTGGTGTGTGGCATGGTTGTATGAATGTAAATATTTGAAACCTTGGATTGGAAGCTGCAATGCAGTTGCTTTCATTGGATCATAGTACCTAAAATTGATACCCTTCTCCTGACTCTTGTCCCCKTCAGTATTCTGATTTATCTTTTTCTGACATTTTCATAATGTGTGTCTATGGGTGAGAGAAAACAGAAACTGACGCTGAACTTCCTTGTATTCTCTATCTGATAAATTGTAAGATCCTGTGAAAGTACAGGCTGCTTTCTGCAAAGGAGGATAGGCTTCTACACTAAGCAGCTCAGAATCGGATGGCTTTCTAAAAATTAGGTAGGAAGTTCAAATGGCATTAGAATACGCAAAAGGATTGTCAACAGATACTGCCTGAAAAAAATTATGCTTTATACCATTTGTACGTGTGCTTAAAACGTGTCTTCCTTGAATTCTTTATCACCCTCTCCCTTGGTTTCATACTAGCCTGTGGATTAATTGTTTTGCACTGATAGTCCAGATTCAATATTTCAATTAAAATGTATTTATAAATGTGGTCTTCAAGGTGTATATTAGCAGGAATGAAGTGCTTATATGTATGATCTGAAAAGAGGTATCCATCTTTAAGATTGTGTGCAGTAGATAAGACACTTCCTCACCTCACATTTTTAATTGACTACAGTAGTCATGTCATATTCTTGGCAAGGAGAGCCTGGACACTGGTCACCAGTTAAAATGTTTCTGTTACTTGAAGAATATGATAAGATTTATTCCAGGTTTTTGCTGAAATTTARTGGTGTGGCTTTCACAATGGAATAATTCCTAGAGACAAAAAGATATTTGTAGCATGTAAAAGGAGCATAGCTTAAAATATTACTTGCATCTGGGTATGAATGTATTTACTTGATAYTACTCTTAAAAATTTTCATTCTTCAAAATTATGAGGGATGAAGATCTGTCTGGAACAACTTTAACATGAAACAATAAAACCAACTTTCTGTTTTCATGAGGCGAAAACAAAGGATTTGCACTATTTTTTGACAAAATACATTTGCATCATACACTGATGCCTAGTATTTTATTTAAAAGTGCTGATTCTAAGTTAATATGGGGATATTACCTGGACAGATTCTCTCCTGATAAAACTATTGTGCTTTCTCAACAGCTAAAAGCAAGAAAGCACACAATGACTTTTTTTAAAATTCTGTATTCTTTGGGTTTATGCATAGTTGCTTGCAGATGTCTGACCTACATCACAATTAAAGAACAGTCCTTGATTCTTTCATCTTTTCCTCTCCAGTTACATAATTGACATTGTTCAATCTTTCTGAAGTTAAAACTTGTCTAAAGCATTGGTCCAAACAATTTAATATTTCTACAAATCAAAGCCAGCAAATTCTCCTGTGCAACTCTATATGTTAATTTTCAACAGACAGCTACACAAAGACATTTTTGAGTGTTAAGTGGAGAAACTTGTGATTATGTGATGCAACTTGCAAGGAATCAAGTCTTAGTTACCCTTAAATTCTTCCAGCTCACTAAATTACAAGRAAAATCTGTGTAGTGAGTGCTGTTTTAGGTATGTGACATCCAAATAGCTTAAAACATAGTAAATAATATTCTTATGAACTAATTTCTGTAAATACATCATCTTCATTTCCAAACAACTTTCTCATCTGTATTAGTGTTGTAAAKACAGCAAAGCAGATTGTGTCACAATGCCTAGTACTAAATGTTAAAATATTCCTACGTATTTACACTAAACAAACAAAAAAATCCAAACAAAACTAAAGCCAGAAAAGAAAAAGATAGCTGCAGGACTGAACTTGCTTTAATTTATTCTTGCCTATTGGCATTTTTATACACTACAAATTAACCTCTGTTCCTTGTGCAGTAGAAGTCCTGCATGTAGCTACTTGAAATCTTGAATCTGCATATTGGAATTGATTCCTTAATATAGAATTTAAAAAAAGGAAGACATTATCCTTTTTAATAGGGATTTTTTAATGCTAACTTTTTAGTAGCTAACTAATCAGTTGGTTCTTTAATGTAATCCTTAGCTCAGATGAAAAGGGAGATCTCTGAAAACAATTTGTTTTCATCTGAAAAGATGCTTTTATTGGGGAAAAGAAAGTAAAACTTTCAAAAATCTGGCCAAAAATAAATAGGGAAAGGTTTCAAAAGCTTTTTTGTGAGTGCATCGCAAACACTTTGTTCTGAAAATTGGATACTAAAGGCACGCTTCTCTGCAATTTACTTGACAGGATAAACTTCTTGGGCTACATGAGGATGACTTAGTTACCTACAAATGCTTCTAATTTCCTTGACATCCAACTCCTAGGAATACAAATTTATCTGAATCCATAACACATTACTGATCTGGGCAGTGTTGTGAAGGAGGGATGTGGATAAGCTTGATTTTCCTGTCAGTGTACACAGAAGAAGTAGCATTTTGCTCTCTTGCAAAATTCCTGCCTCCACATACTCTTTCTAGTAGCTCAATAGCCAGTGTTCAGGAGGAGATGGCTCCTCTGGCTGTGTTTTGTAATTCACTCTTACAACCTGAGCAGAACATTTGCAGATCAGCATTAACTTCAAAACATGCAATGTGTGTGCAGAGTGAGGGTGTAAAACAACCTGATAAAAACAGTGGATGTACACCTACGAACTTAGAAAGTTTGTATTGGAAGAACAATTATCAAGGAGAAACTTCCTTGAATTGTTGTCCTAAGGATGTTGAACTGCAGCCAGTTTTGCAAAGAAGATATTATCTTGCACCTTTCACCCAGCTACAAATTAGTTACATATATTTGTATGAAAATAGCTGTTTTTTTGTAGAATTAAAACAACAAATGAGATCTTAAATGTTTAAAATAATGATTCTTAAGTTATAAAGCTTTTCTTTATGAATTTTATTCTGGCACATCACCAAAATCTAACAACTCTGAAACCCTTTAGGCCTAGGAGACTGATGTGGCTGCAGTGTTGACTGCATATTATTAGGAGCATGTGTATGTTACTTAAGTCATGTCCTGTCTTCACATTTTATATAACTCAAGTTTAGACAATACAGTTAAAATGGAAAACATTTTATTTAGTATATGTGTTTTGAACTAAATTAATTTTGCAAGTAACTTATTCTTGTTCCTGGTGGAATTTCACATTGGTTAAGCTCAAGCTATATTGCACTTGTGAATGAGAAATTTTATTCTATTTTAACTGTGAATTAATGGCTTTTTGTATTGCTGCAGCTGAAAGAATATACCTTTCATTGAGTTTACTGCTTTCCTTGAATAACTGCAACATAGGGGATATTTTTCAACATGTATATTAAATTAGATCATAGAAATTATATTTTTAAATGAATTCTTAAAGGAACTGAAGAATCCGCTCAGTAGTTTTCTCTTTTTAAAACTTAATCCAACAGTTATTTCAATGCAGATAACTTCTATTTCATTAACAGTAMGCAGGTCATCTTATTCATATGACTACATTTTAAACAAAAGGGTTCTCTTTTCCTTTCAACTAATAAAAATCTTAAAAATGCATTCTGTATATCAGCTTTCATTACAGATATTTTTAAAAACAAGCACCGTTTTAAGTGTTGAAATGGAAGGGTTGGATTGGGCTCTGGTTCTGTAGTCTCCTGTGCTGTATATTGTGATGCRTTCATGAGAGAATTGGATGGTGTTTTTGTTTGTTCTTTCAGTCTGCATCAACCGATGGTGCAAATAAAAGGGATTGTTTGGTGTTGTTTAGAAGCACATTAAACTCCTGTTAGGAGCTTAAAATAAACTGTAATGTAACAAGGATGAAATTATGTAGTGTGAATAAATTATGAATTTATTAAATGAGCTGGAAAGCTTCATGCAATAAAATTTGCACTGGTTTAAAGACTGTTTTGAACTGTTGAAAAAATGGCATCCATTTACTGTGCTTTGATTAACAGTTGTTTCTCTGTAATGTTTTTGTACATTTGACAAAAAATTGAGTTTAAAAGGGCACTCTCTATATTCTGAAATCTGTATAGATATTCTAGACTAAGAAACAATTTTTAATGCTGTTCCCAAAATAAAATATATATGCATCCTGTGTAAAAATTTCCATTGTTCAGCTTTTCTCACCATTTAYATGACTGACAGAATTTAATCTTAAGTGTAAGCCTATAGTTGGGCAAAAGACTTTTGACTGCCTTTTTGGGTAATTTTTTCTCAATCCCTCAGTGGTTTCTGCATGGTGGGAAAGAGCAGAGGCAGGGGGAGGGGGWAATAAAAGATGGKATTCAGTGCTGGAGATGTGGCTCCTAGAGAGGATGGCTCTGTGGCCATCCTCAGCAAGCACTGGGCATCCATAGGGGGAAGAGCAGTTGAAAAAGGGGCTGAGGGAGACAGAATCCATGAGGCTCTTGTTTGTWGGAAAGGCATGGCCCCCGGCTTCCTGAGGACAGAGCTGCTGCTCTCTACGGCATATTGATGGCTTTACTTGGAAGAATGCTTTCCAGGAGTTCTATTTTCCCAATGGCTTTGTAATGGGGGCACAGAGTGATGCTTTTCAGTTAATGCATCCTTGCTTGAGAAAACAGCAGTGGCCCTCTTTCCTTGTAACATACTTGCAGGTTTATATGTAGTTTCCAGGATTTAGGTGGGGTAGTTTTTTGGTTTTGTTTTCATTTTTGGGTTTTCTTTTGCCTTTTAATGGAGCAGGGATACGAGTGAAGCTGAGATGAAATATGAGTAGTAGAAATTGCCAGTTACTTCCAAGTGCCTCAGGCTTTTACCTTCACAGCTGAGTATCTTTCAAAACCCCTCATGYATGGCTTCATTAATCTGACAATAACAGTAAAACTACCAGACCTTAAAGACCTGTCTTGGTTRTGAGACTGATATGCATAGCACACATTGGTTTCTTGTGAAGAAGATTCATAATAAACCCATCTTTCCCTATTTTTAGATAGGGAGCTGAGGAACATCTTCTGGAATTAAATGTYTGTAAGCATCACACTGACTTTCCTTGTTTTTCTATGACTGCTTTTGTCACTGCTGTCTTTTCAACAAAGCTGCTTGCTAAGAATGTTACCCTGTCTGTGTGTTTTCTACCCTTTCTGTGGCCTGTTGAGGGAGGAGGCAGAAAGAGGGAGAATGTTGCCCAAGGAACAAAAGCTTCCAGTTGAGGAATCCCAAAAGAAGAATGAACACAGGGTTTGGGTTTGCAGCTGTAGAGAGGAGGAGATGGCCGCTTCCTGTGCCAGAATCTGGAGGGAAATTTGAGGGAAGGTGCTTGCTTAAGGRAGCTCTGATCATGTGTTTAGAGCTTCTTTGAGTGGTAGCTCCTACTTGTTAGAGATAGTTCCCCCCATCTCTGCAGAGATAAACTTCCRTTGTCTACAAGGAAAAGTAGAGTCACTCACTTGCCAAGCTGGAGAACTGATGGGGTCCACAAGTAATCCAAAAGGTCCTGCCTCTGTGTAGGAATAATTGCACATGCCAGTGCAGGCTGAAGAGCAGCTGGGCAGGAAAGACCTCATGTTCCTGGTGGGCACCAAACTGGCCTTGGGACAGCAGAGTGTGCCCTCACAGCAACTCAAGCCAGTTGTCTGGAGRTGAGCTAGGCTGAGCTCATGCATGGATGGTGACCTCTCCTCAGTGCTGGTGAGACATGTCTGGTCCTATGGCTAAACGTCAGCTGACTGGTACAAGAGACACTTCAGCATCCTGGAATGATGCCAGGGAAGGCCACAAAGGTGATGAAGATCTTGTAGCATCTGTCACACAAGTGCAGGTTAGCAAAGATGGCACAGTCCAGGCTGGAGAAAACTAAGGGGCAGGGAGGGGGAGAATCTAATCCACGTGTCTCCATACCTGACGGGATGGGAAGTAGAGAAGACAGACTTAGTTGAGTGGTGCCAGAATAGGCAATGGGAAAAAACTTAAACACTGAGAGGATTTTCCTGTAGTTCAACTGTGAGGGTGATGGAACACTGGAACACATTGCCTGGGAATTTGTGAAGACTCTCCTTTAAAAAATACTCAGACTTGAGACCTGGTACTACCCTGCTTCAGCAGGTGTTTCCATTACAGTTTTCCAGGGTTGCCTGGAGGAGTCTCAGTGTTCTAGGGGATGGCARCTGGAAACTGCTGGGAGGAACAGAGACCCACTTTACCTAATTTTGAGTGTAGTTTATAGGGACATTCTGACATTTTAGTCTAGGTTTCCTCAAGATGCTTTCCTTTGGCATATTTTCTTCATTTCTTTTGTGTATCACACTCTCTAAATTCAGACCTTGCCTGCTAAAATTGATTATGACAGTATTATGTGTATTCTGTTTCCTTTGGTTGCGAGGAGTTGAAATGGCAACCTGTCAGGTTGTGGCCAGGGTCCCTATTACTTGCCCTGAAGCTTCAGGTGTCTCTGAGTTTGCAGCCAAGCTTCAGACTTGCAGAAAAACTTCACCCTAGAGAGCAGAAATCYTGCTAAAACTGCTGAAACATTCAAGAAAATGCTGCTGTTCCCAGGTAGTGCTTGGCATTGCATTTAGTATCCCASGTTTTGAACTGCTGTAAGGTGTTAAGGGACTTCAGCTGCTGGCCATGTGGTTTTATTGCAGTTCCTACTGCAAATAAAGCCAAAAGTGCACASGGTCAGAGACACTTAAAGCCATTGTGAAAGCAGGTGACTGGGAAAACTCAGTATGATTTCATGAAAGGCAAGTCAAGGGTAAATTGGTAACTGCTACAGAAAAAGAGCATGTCAAAACAGACCAGTATTATTTAGCTGCACCTTGGCAAAGCATTTGACCCTGTCTCCCCCAGCCTCCTCCTGGACAAAGGTCAACTAGAGACTGGATGGGTGGTCTGTGAAAGGGGCAGGAATCATCTCACAGGTGATCAATATGTTTTATTGAGGCTGGCAGTCTGTCACAAATGTGGTTCCCCCAGGATCAGTGCTGGGCTYCATGTTGTAACATGTCCATGAATGATCTTGACGATGGCACTGAAAGCACCCTCACAACTTTGCATGTTGAGGTGGACACATYRGCAGGGAGAGCCACTTTTCTCAGACCTGGACAGGCTGGACCAGGTATCTTTCAAGGTCTCTTCAAGCCAGGACTGTTCTTTTGAGTCTACAAGTCMTGATATGCCTGTTTTGCACTTAATGGCCTAAGACTGCAGAAGAAATCAGCAGATGAACCAGAAAGGCAGCTCCAGCAAATAAGTGAGGGAAAACAGTTTTGTTACTGGTGATAAGGATGTGTATTTCCTGGTTCTGGCAAAGTCACATATCCTCAAAGCTTGATAAAAACAACTAGCACCCCACTGACTTTTTTCACGTTAATACAACTGGGTGTTAGTTGCACTGCTTCAAAGACTTACTAGAAGCCTACACAGCAGTATAGCATAGGCCCTATAGAACAGCCTATACTACTCTTAGTAGCCTATTCAGAACAATYGTTCTCATCCAGGACACCTTCACCACAGTACTTGGTCACCCTAACCAGAATAACCTCTAACTGTGTGCAAGWACATTTCACAAGGATTAAGAGGCTAGACTGTATTATTTTGCTTCTGCGGACTGTGAAATTCTTGGCATTGTGAATTTAGTGTTACTCTCATACCTACATCTTCTCTGTAATTTTAGCAGCTGAGACTAAAGTGGATTAAAATGGGACTTCTTTGTTTCGTGAAGCTCAGGTTTAACAGAGCCTATGGATCTACACTAAAATGGTACTCTCTTAAAATTGGTACCATTTATTGGCATTATATACCATTAYGAGCACTCTTTCCCTCTTGGGATTAGTTAAAATTGATTTGTCACTCAAAAATAGTCTTGGTTAGGCTGTGAAAGATCGTTTTGAGTAACTGCTCTGGCCAAGTCTCTTGGTGCAAGGCTTCCACTGCAAACAACTGCTTCATGGCAAATTCTATCCTTGTCAGAGACTGTTATCCCTTCACCCTAAACACAAACCCTAAGTTTAATGGTAGCAGATGTGATCCTTCTGTGCCCATACTGTACTGTCAGCAGGTTTCRTCTTGCAACTCGTTTTTTGTATAGTTCAGATTTTTCACTTGCATAAAAAGGCAGGTGGGGCCCTGACTTAGAAGAGCCTTGCCATACACACAAGAATAAAAACTTTCCCAACTTTTAAGGTTGTGATGAAGCCTAATGTACTAGAAACAGAAGCACCTRTTTCCACAAAAACAGAAGTGGATCCCAATTACTAAAGAACTAAGCAATGTATTTAGTTGCAGACCGTTCTAACATCCAACACATGTAACTTTGAGCCACATTCCCCCTACTGAGCACAGACTGATTAAAGCTAGTTGTTTCTCAAGCCRATTTTCAAGCCAAACCTTTGAGGTGCCTTACTCATGCTCAATACCAATTTCAAGAGCAGAATGCTCCAATACTGAGAGAATCAGAGTATCTTGAGTTTGCAGTAATCCATAAGGATCAACACCAGTGCTCCTCACAGCACTCCCTACCAGTAAAACATTGGACAAAGAACATCATCCTGATGTTCCTGAACCCCGGCAGGCTCSGGGCTGTGTCAACTTCCCTGGGGAGCCTGTTCCAGTGAGTGTCTGAACTGCACTTAATTCTGCCAAGAATCAGCTGAAGGTTTAGTTTTACCAATGCTCAGTGTCAAAAGCAAGTAACACAATCTTCTCCTATGTAAACACTATCCTGCACTTCAGATTTAAAAAAAACCCATCAAAATACAAACAAGCCACTGAATGCTACTAAGTGAGTTGCGTTCTGCCCACTGCATTGCTCAACCATTGCACRCTGCAGATAAACCCTGCTCATAGCAACAATCAATAGTTTATAATAAAATGGAACTTCTCAATAAAGACATGGTAGGTACTAAAAATTCTCAAGAGACCTCCATCAAGATCCTGCTTGGTCTACATAACTCACTTGCTCTGAACTGTAAGAGACTGCCAATAACAACATACACTACAAGTCCCATACTGGAAGTTCACCATAAAAGGAGTTTATTGGTAATTAAATGTAGAATGTCTTTTAGAATCAAGTACAACATCTTTATTTCTGACTTGATTCAGACTTGGATGTAGAAGCTCTCAAAGAAGAAAGCCGGCGCCTCTTGGCAATCTGCTCCTGGCGTTTCTCCTTGGCCTCCTGAAAGACATGGAGTATGGAGATGTTAGGTATTACCAGCACTTGAAACATACATATAGTAACTAGGAAAAACACAACTTGAAGGAATGAATTCTGTAAGCCAATAAAGAAAAGTAATTCCCCTTCTTTGGGTCAGAAGAATTCTACATGTATCCAAACCAGCACAAATCAATGTCTTTCCACAGTATGCACCCAAAACTTCAGTAAAGAAACTGATGTAGATAGAGTTTACAGCATACTAAAGGTGCATGTGTTCTCAGTTCCTATCTGGAAGTCATGAAACCAACCCACTAAGTACTGTGCCACATATTCCAACTGTACTGCTAACAGTACTGCTTCAGCAGTCATTGCAATTTCTGAAGGGTCACAGTTTTAGGATGAAGAACAAATGTATACAAACAAGTATCTCCTTGCCATTTTATCCAAAACCAACATCAACTTCTTAACCCTATTCTTTCACATAATCACTAAAATGCTTAGCCATCTTGAGTTAAACCACATGTTCAAAAAACCCCAACTGGCCAGCCATGTTTATACTCACATTTGGGCACTCATATTCAATATGAGCTAGCACAGAGAACTGTAAACGTWCTGTCCAGTTTATCAGATCCTTGGATTTTGGGAGATGACCTATATTCCACATTGCTCAGCTAAAATGGCAAACATACCTTCATCCTCTTGGCCAAGAGCTTCGCATACTCTGCAGCTTCCTCCTTGTTCTTTTGAGTGCGCTGCTTCTTTAGGGCAATACGCCTGCGCTTATGCTGCAGCACACGAGGAGTCACCAGTCGCTGGATCTTGGGAGCCTTCGTTCTGGGTTTCTTGCCTAAAAATTATTACATATCAGCACAAATGGCAGAGAACTTCTGAAAAAGCCATAGGCCTCATCTAACAAACTTTGGAGTAGGTTTCATCTAGTGTTATGTAAACATTATTTAGTATACTGGGCATTACAGCRACTATACAGAGTTCAACATTTTGACATATTTTGAAGGAAAATTATCATTACCCACAGCATTAACAATATATGGTCTTAAGGCTCACGATTTGTTGTCAGCAATGAAGTGTAAATTCCTAGCTTCCCAGCAGGCCTCTCTCTACTAACTCCCCCTAGACTTGTGTTTCTTTAATCATACGGGTATTCATTACCCAGGTTCCAGATCAAACCACTGTATCTAACTACAGCTGTGCACATGTTTGACACAAGTCTATCCCAGAAAACAGATCTACAGTCCACAATGAGCAAACAAAACACTCYACTAACATCTATGAAATTTTACAAAGCAATCCTAACAGACTCTAGCAGTCACACGCAACAGTCTGATGTCCATCAGAATMATATTCTTCAATGGAAAAAAAATTTATGTGTTTTTTCCCCAACAAAATTTCACAGTACCCAAGTTTTATCATTCTAAAAATCCACTWTTTTCCACCAATCAAATGCAAAAAGAGAGAGGTAGTAAGCAAAGCAGTGCCCTTCCAATAAAAGCTCATTTCAGACTGCCATAAGCAAAAGGAAAAAACCTTAGCATTTTCTCTTTACACTGCCTTCCCCACCCTGCCACATCATAAAAAAGGAAGCTTTGTTTCAACATTCCACCTCGTATTTAACTTTTGACTTATTATCAACTACTTTTGGRTTATTCTTATAGTAATATTTACCTCAGATTTTATCAAACATATAAGAAAAAACTGTGATAGAACAGACAGGAAAGAGGAGTGAGAGAAATGCTGCTACYTATATTCCAAAAGTTACAGCTGACAAAACCTAAGTATAGTGAGGGTCAGCTTCTGAATGTATGACTGTGCTTCATTCACTGCAGTAGGCATGACACTTTATCAGCAACTACAGGAACCCCAAGAGCTGTGCTATATGAGTTCTTACCCTCTTTGTTCAGAGGCTTCCTCACAACGTACTGGCGCACATCATCTTCCTTAGAGAGGTTGAACAGCTTGCGGATCCTGCTGGCTCTCTTGGGACCGAGACGACGGGGCACAGTGGTGTCCGTCAGCCCAGGAATCTCCTTCTCACCTTTGGGAATGTAAGTTTAAACAAGTCAACYACTACATCTACTGGGCACCACCTACAGAGCAAAACACTGTTTAAAACATGTAAGAATTCAAGATAAAAATAGATAATTTTTGGGTTCAGCTGTCAATAGCACCACCCCAGCTACTTGGTTGGCCTAACATGATCAGATTGTTTGAAGCAGTTAAGTATTTTAATGACCATTTTTAGCATTACAAGAACRCAATGCTCAGAAAGAATCTTAAGGCATGTTGCACACTCAGAAACTGGGACTCCATTTCCATTCCATGCAACTTACTAACCACTATCAAGCAGGGTCCTTCCAGGTGCCTACTTCTACCTACTGCCTGTCTCATCCAGACTCTTACCCTTTTTCACAATAACCAAATTCAGGACACTCAAGTTGGCATCAACAATGCAGCCGCGGACGGACTTGCGTTTTCTTTCTCCAGTCCTTCTGGGACGGTAACAGGAGTGGCCCTTGCTGAGCAGAAGGCGAACACGTCCATGAGTCAGGACACCTTGCTTCATGGGGAAGCCCTGCTTGTCGTTGCCACCGCTTATCCGGACAACATAGCCCTGTGAAAACAAAACCACTTCTGAATTACTCATGTCTCTACTACCTCAAAAAATAGTAGATACCAGAGCACATTGCTTGGAACAAAGGAAGTAAGTACTATGTCTACGATTTAGCAAGTCACTGTTACTGCCGGTGCAAACAACTTTAACCAACACCTTCAGAACAATTCAGAAATTTTATTKAAGAAATTTAAAAATACCCCTGCATACCAGAATATGCATTTAGTGTGATTCATATCCCTTTGAAGTTTTGTTGTAAAGTTACACCATGTAAAATCTTCACCCATTATTGCTTTTTTGCAATCATAAACCTAACTGAAGCCTGTTACCACAAACTGGAAATCTGCACAGAACACCAGAGTCTCTAGAGCAGGTACACATAGGTACAAACTGCACGGTTCTATCACCTTCCTTGTAGAGGYAGCAGCAGAGAACATCAACTTCTTCAAATTTAACTGCACTGTCCATGTTAACACTATCTGAAGCCCATCCACCAGGCACAACATGTTTTTTTCCCAGGCATTAGCTGCAGTTTAAACATAACAGACAGTTTTGAGCAGACCTGCAGTTTTATACTGCAGATTTAACTCACCCTGAATACCAAGACAGCACTCAAATGAACAATAAGCTACTCTGAAGGGGAGCAAAAAAAACTCTTAACAAGGCTTTCAAAGCCAAAACTTCCCCACACAAATAAATTCAAGTGCCAAGAGGCTAGCCTAACCAGTATGTTCAGTACATGTATAGCAAGAGAAACTTACAACATAATTTCCAAATGCACACCATACTAGCACTACAGCATGTATTTTAAGCTCCTTAAATACAACTCTGATATCCTTCTGCACTACTTACCTTCCACTCCTCTCCAAGGGAATCGGCCAGCACCTCCGTGGCCATTCGTTTTTCATAGAATGTCCTTAGCTTACGCTCATCGTCGACCTCAATTAGCTTTTGACAGCCAGTARSWGRAAARGARAWGTWAAGMWARMAAAAAAAAAAAAAAAAAAAGAAACAAAAATAAGAGATCGGTTTGTTACTTCTGCTGAAACATTTTACAAAAAAMCAGGATTTACCTGATGATCTGAACTCAGCATTTCAAAACTAAAATCTTTTATCTGCTTACACGAATGCTTATCAGCTAAAGCCTGTTACYATCCTACTCGGGGAGTCAAGGCTGGGAGTTGTGTACAGCCACACTGGGCTGTACAACTCGTTCAGTCGCACAGAAAACTGACTTCAACAGCCGGAGACTGATCACAGACGGCGAGCAGCAGAAACCTGTGCCCTCCTCYTCCTGCAAGCCCCTCACAGCACACGCCGCACTACAGAGATGCGCACATCACTGCAGGAGAACAGCACCKGCCGTAGAGGATCACTTGTGTCTTCTAGGGGCCGCTGCAGAACGCAGCGCTGCGGGCGCGCCTCCCGGCGCTGTCTCAGGAGCCGAGCACACGGCGCCCCTGTGCTGGCCTTACTAGAGAAAGCTGCACAAGCCTCTCCCTCGCAAAAGCCCTTCCGAGCCAAGCGGCCGCTCCGGAAGGCATGCGTTCTGCGGCCCTGCAACAGCAGAGCCCCGTCCGAGGGAGCAGGGCCCGCCAGCAATCCACTCCCATCGGCCCACCAGCTGCTCTCCAACCCCAAAGCCAGCGACCATCGGCCACCAGCGGCAGCTCTGCGGGCAGCGCCGTGGCCATTTACGGCGGGGGAGCCCAAGCCCCGCTCCCAGCGCGACCCCGGCCCAGCGTGGCCTCACCTTCATCTTGCTCTCCTCTCAACGCCGCGGGAAAAGGCCGCACTTCCGGCCACACTTGTTACATACACCCCGCAATTCTCGCGAGAGCAGCGCAGCCTGTGCCCACGTGACCGGGACTGCCCAATAGCGATACAGGCTCCCCTGGGCGTGGCCCGGCCAGACTCCGCCCAGCATGGCCCGGCCCCTCCGCCTGCCGGGGCTGCGCCGCTGTCTGGGGCCGGCTCGGGCACCAAACTGGCTCCCAGCGGTTCCGCTCGCCAGCGAGAAAATGTGCCTCCGGAACGGCAGCGGAACCGCACTCGGGAGCTCGCCCACCCCGGGGCTGGGARCACCGGCACCTGGAAAAAGAAGCGGCATTAATACGCGCCGCATCGGCTTTCAGGGGAGGGCGCCTTGTTTGCACGGCATGAGCGGCTTCCCGGTTCTTTGCCAGCGCTGTGTGTCCAGCACTTTCTGTGCACAGGCGCACGGCCTTGCGGGGAGCGGCCGCTCCTTCCACTCGGCTGGAGCTGACACAGTGTGTCCTGTGTCCAGTTCTGGCCTCCGCAGCACAAGAGAGACAAGGAGTTACTGGAGAGAACCCAGTGAAGGGCCACCGGGATGATCGGGKTCTGGAGCATCTCTCTCATGAAGAGAGACTGTGGGAGCTGCGTGTGTTTAGTGTGGAGAAGGCTGAGAGGGGTTATCTTCAATACATATAAATAGTTCAGAGTGGGTGCCAAGAGGATGGCGCCAGAGTAATGTCAGTGGTTCCCGGTGGCACAGCGTTAATGACTCTAGACTAAAACAGAGGAATTTTCACCTCAGTATAAGAAAGAATTTCTTTACACTGAGGGGCAGAGCACTAGAACAGGCTGCCCGGAGAGGTGGTGGAGTCTCCCTCCGGAGACATTCAAAAGCCACCTGGCCGCGTTCCTGTGCCACCTTCTCTCGGTGACCCTRCCCGGACAGGGGGGTTGGACTGGATGATCACCAGAGGTCTATTCCAAACTTAAAGAGTTCTGTGATTCTGTCTGAGATATTTCTAAGCGTACAAGGGAGGCAGGTGTGCTGCCCGCGCGTTTGGAGGAGCTGCCTTCTCAAAGCCTCCGGGGAGCGGGTAAGCGGCGCTTCCAGCTGCCGGCAATCTTGGCGGCAGGCGCAGGAGCCCCAAGCGGGGCGGGCCCCAAGACCTGTGTCCGGAGGGCTGGACCGGAGCCGCCCCGCCCCTTGAGCGGACCGCGGAGCAGGGGCGGGGGCGGTGTCGGTGTCGCGGTCACCGCCYCGCAGCGCCGCCGGGCCGGGATGGGCGCGATGCTGTGGTGGGACCCGCTGCGGGCCGGCAGCTCGGAGGTAGACTGGTGCGAGGACAACTACACCATCGTTCCCGCCATCGCCGAGTTCTACAATACGGTTGGTGGCGGTGCCCGGGGGGCGGCGGGTGGGTGAGGGTGCGGCGGCGGGCAGGTCCCGCTGCAGCCCGGGGGGCCCCTGCTGCCTGCCAGCTCCGTCTCCTGTGGGGTTTTCATGGSATTATACCATTCCTTTCTATGCTTGGCGACTTCTTTTCCTTCTTCAGTCGCTCGCATGCCTAAAATTTACGTAGTTATACCTAGTTATTTAGGTATAAAATGAGGAAATTTACTAGTCATACTACTACTGGTAAGTAGTGTGCAACAGGCCCCCTCCTCGTCTTTGTCGAGCCTTGTGGTGGCCAAGCACCAAAGTTTTGGTTCTAGATTGCCCTGGTCTGGTACCCGTTTGCACAGGTGTCAGCACCTTCATGGGCGTGCAAGGCAGTGACGGGTCAAGATAAAATACTGTGTGATTGGAGGCAAAACTGGATTTCTCCCAAATATGTTTAGATCCAGCAAGGCAAAGCTTTCACGGGTGGTTTGCAGGATGAAGTCAAGAGTGTATTTTTGAAGACGAAGAAATGTCTTTTTAAGAAAATAACTGAAGAATGGAAGGAGAGGGAATAATGTAATTGTTGCTTCCCTGCAGTTAGTCATGGTTTACCCCCAAGTCCTCTCGTACTTTTCCAATACCTTTCAGCAGATGCAGAGAACTTAAAAAAGCACTGCTACAGCAGCAGAGCCAGACCACCCTGTACCATTCATCTTGGAAAGGGAGCAATGCTCATGACATCCTGCTGATGTAAAGAATGGAAGTGACAGATCCATTMGAGTAAGATTATCGGGTTTTCAGGTAGTTTGCTTTTCCATGAAAAGTACATATCCGGCGGAAACCTGCAAATGCCAGGTCTGCTTTCTGTTCTACAGGAGGTGGTGCGTGCACAAATGAGAGGCTAGAGCTTCTACTTTGTCTCTTTTATACTTTAAAATGGGCAGGTTTTTTCTCCCGAAGTCTGTTATTGACTGAACTCTGCACTTACTTTTGCCTTTCAAGCCACGTTTCTTTGACTGCCAACATATAGTGGAATAAAGAAGWAGATATCTGGCTTCCCACACTGGAGTTTGTATAATGAGAGGTTCTGCACATATAGAGCAAGTAATTCTGTGATGCGCTGTATACATTGACAACTTATTTATTTCTTGTACTTCGCTGCCAAAGTCCTAAAGATGGTGGTTGTGCATTGGAGGTCTGTGCCATTGGAGAATTTTGAGGGTGTGTAAGGGAAACTGTTGGCTTTTTTTGTGTGTCTGATGTCACTGTGCAAGAACCAAAAACAAAGGGAGGAAAAGGTCAGGATAAACAAGTTGTTGAAGACAGCAGATGTGTTTTGGAGCCAGCTATGCAGGGGGATGGGTATCCTTCTACTGTGTGTGCTGGTTCAGTCTGGGGTGCAGTGAATTTTCCGCATAGGCRCTCATATTGTCATCGAAACTGCAGCAAAAAGAAAACCCTCTAACTCTATATTTGGAGTGATAAAGAGTCAGGCATTACTTYATTTACTGGCCAGGATGTAGTTCTGGCCAGGATGTGCCACAGAAATCATTCAATCCACACATAGCCCGGGTGTGCAGAGAAAATCATTCTAGGACACATGAATTTTACAAGATTTCCCCTTTATACAGTCAAAACCCATAGAACTCTATTAGTTTAATGTTCATTGGTCCGATGTTGCACAGTTCTCTGTATTTGGGTTCCTATTGGATCTGGATTTCTTCACCTCTGATAATCAGGTGCTCCTTATCTTTTTTTTTTATCCTAGACCAGGTGTTCTGACCACACCAGGGGTGATGTTCCATTGATAAGTTTTTGATGGCTATTGATTTCTTGATGGTTCTTGATGGCTCTCGATCCTTATTTTCCATGCCACTCCCAGGTCTGATGAGATGTTAACTTCATAGACCTTACCTGGTGGTGTGATGCTCTGGAAAGAAACCTTCCCCCAGGGCAAAGGCAAACAGGATCTCTGACTGAAACAAATTTTTAAACKGGTATAATTTCCAACAATATGGGTTGTTGTTTTGTGCTTGGTAACACTAGGATGTTTTCATTACTTCTGAGCAGGGCTTAACTCAGGTCAAGGCCTATTCTCCTCCTCACCTCACCCAACCAGCAAAGTGGGCTGCGATACAGAAGGCTTTTGGAGGGTATACAGCTGGGATTTCCCTGGCCATGTAGTGTCATGATCAGCATATAGAGCTGGAGGAAGGAGAAGGAAGTGGTTGGGACATGTGGGGTGATGGCATTTGTCTCCCCAAGTCACTGTTACTTGTTATGGGGCCCTGCTTTCCTGGTGATGGCAGAACACCTGCCTGCCCATGGGAAGTGCTGAATAAATTCCTTATTTCACTTATATGCACAGCTTTTGTTTTTCCTATTTAATTGTTACCTCAATCCACAMGTTTTCTCACATATTCCCTTCATTTTCTCCTGCATCCCTCAACCTGCTGTGAAGGGAGTGAGTGAGCAGCTGGGCAGTGCTTAGTTGCTGGTTGGGATTAAACCACAACACTGTACTGAGCTGATTAGCAGTGGTACAGAAGCTTGCAAAATGGTAGAAGCTRCACTTGTGTCCAGATGAGTAACTGAGGCTTCAAACAGGTGTACTGCCACAAAGTAAAGTTTGTCCCAAAGCCTGCCGTGTTCTGGCAGCTGTGTACAAATCAGCAAACTGTACACTGAAAGGGAAGGAAAAGCAGGCCTTGTTGAGGGTAGTCATGTTTAGTCTCTCTTCAGTAATACCAAGTAATTATTAGGGTTCAATTTCTGAAAATTAAAGCTCTGAAATTTCAAGCTCTGAAAATTAATACAGTGAGTTGCASTAGAGTGATGGGGTTGCGCAGCTGTGTCCTCAAAATAAACAGATGCACACTGGACAGTTGAGAAGTTTTTGCCCTACTCTGAAAAGTACCTTAGGTGGCATCTAAATTTTATGCTTCTAAGGAGGGTTCATTCTGACTGACTCAAACTTTTTTGAAGTTCCRGGAAACACCCTTCAGCAGACCTGAATCTGGCATCTGGGTCATTAATCTTTAGATTAAAACCTTTCTAATCCGCATTTTAAACTGTCATGGCAGGAGATCAGYGTTGTGGTGAGGTCTCACGCAATATTCATGTAAGCACAAAAGTGGAACAGCTTATCAAAAATGTGTTTTAGAAAAAAATATTTATTTTTCTRGTGGGACTTAAACAAAAGCACTCAAAAGGATTAAATCAGTAGAAGAAATCTGGTCAGAGATTTTGTACAAATTGATCAACCCAGTTTTTAAAAACTGCACAAGGTATGATTATGTGATTTTGTGTAGCTAAAGTGATATAGGTCTTGCACTTTTTCAAAAGGAGGCCACAAAACACTGTAGTTTAAGCTGAAGGAATAGTTATAGGAGAAGTATATTTTTTTCTTTTTGTTTTTCTCCTTCTGAAAGGAATAATATGTTCTAATGCAGTGTAACCCTATTCCAGAACAGTAAAAAATGCCTCCACATGACCAAAATAATGAACTCATGAAGATGTATTCACAAAAAAAGATAATGTTTTAAACATCTGAAAACAGTATCTTTTTTGTCCTGTTAATACTTTGTAGTTCCATGTGTTGCATTTAGTTGTGCTTGTAATTTCCATTTACAAAGGGAATTGCTAGGGTTTTATTCCTCTTCTTCTGTTCCCTAGTAGCATGGAAATAAAAGYTTTTAAAAGTTATGAGGTAATCTTAAGAGTGTGAGAGAATGATTGTACTCTCTGTAGCATCTTTTTTTACAACACAGCATTTTTACTGTTTGTGAATGGCATGCTCAGGAACTAGGATGTAGTTGCTGGGAAAACTAGCCCATTTTTGCTTTCTGCTCAGGAAGATATTGAGCAGTAACTTCTTGTGGTGGTTGAATGCTGCAGCTGCTCTCTGGGAGATGAAACAAATGTTGAAGTATACATGAGCTTTGGTAGGACTGTGGGAAGCATACTGTGTCAAGACAATGGCCAGGTGTAAGTGAAGTTGCACGATCATGAACTGAGCAAACCCGTGACATTCTCTCTGTCCTATAGGCTGATGTCCTGAATTCCTATAATATAATTAACTAGTTGAAAATTAAAACTAAAGGTCTAGAATTGCATGAAGCCAAAATTATTGAACAATTGGACAATTATTGAAATGCTGTTGAAAATTATTGGACAATTATTGAAATGCTGTTTGCCTGTTTTTCATTTAATTTAACTGTAACTTTTAATCATTGCCTTTGCAGATCCCAATGCAAATTTTCTGTGCTATTGATGTAAATTTTTACACTTACTGTAACTGTAAAAATATTTGAATTGTACATTATCAAATCATGGAGGCCATTTTGTATTAATATAAAAAATGCTCATACAACATACTTTCTGAAGCAATACTGTAGTATTTAAATTTTCAGTACTGAAATGATTTCAGCTTCTGAGATGTTAGGAAATCCTCCTGATGGCCACTACAAAGAGTACAAATCATGCTCAGGCTCCAGTTTGCAAGGTTTTCTTGCATTTGCAGGCAGGACCTTAGCATGAATGGGAGTTCAGTGCTAGAGGAGCACTACCACATCACAGGACTGCTCCTTTGTTGGTTAATCACTAGTATAAATCTTAATTGCTACAGCTGTGGTAAGGTCTTGTGCTTCCTTTGTCTCTTTTTCCTAGGTGAAATAAGGACTTTCTAGCCAAATATTTATAGACTGTAGTTGCCTGTTGTGATTTTCTTCGTTGGTCAGTTTCAGCTGTATAGATGGAAAGGTTTGCTTCCAAATCACTTAGTTTATAACCACCTATTTTCACCCCTTGACACTTCCCTTTGGCCTAACTGTCTAAAAGCCTAAAATGCATAGAGCACGTCTAGGCCCCCAGTGGACTTGTTCATATTCCATCATCTCTGCTGTCAGTGTGYCTGTTTCCTACCTGCTTTGGAGTGAGGGAAGTCTTCCCTCACTACATGTGTATGTATCAGCACACCATGCACTGCAATCCTGGTCCATCACTGTATTCCCAATGTTGCGGACAGGCTCTGCTGGATGGTGATGGGTGGGATTTTTGTGAATGAAGGTTGCTCAGGTGAACCTGTTTTGTGGAATGTGTAGGTTGGTTTACATGAGTTAAACTACTTGATCTACCACTTATAATCTATTTCCAGACTGTGTTGGGTGGTGGACAACTGTAGCTGAATGAAAAAAATTGTATATAGTTCTTGAATTATTTCTACACTAGATTTTCATTATTGTTAGTAAAAGTTTGAAGAGATGATCTGTCCCAAAGGAATGCTTTTGACCCAGAGTTGTTTTCTGCATCAGCTGCTTCTGGGGGTGTTTTTCTCTTGTGCTTAGGCAAAGCAGGCAAACATAAGAAAGCTGAGGCTGGGTACTCCTCCTGTCCTTTGGCCTGCTGTGAAGCAGCAAAAGTGTGTTTTCATAACTGCTCAGTTACAGTGCCATGACTGGCCCTCAGCACTGGCAGCTCCTAGGAGGAACCAAGTGACCGCTACTACAGTGACAGCTCCTGCTAATTGCAAGTGTTTTCAGTTTTTAGAGAATCCTGCTTTAGGCTTTTGGTTAGCAAGAGAAAACATAAAACATGTTTTCATTCGAATCATACATATTAAATGAAAAAAAAAACCCTAGCAGTGGTCTGAATGATCAGACATTCCACCTTCCTATAATTATTTTTCAGTCATATTCAGTTGTGTCTGTAGTGGAGAACTGAGGGAAAGAATTAAAGCGTGAAAGGACTTGAAGCTCCAGATTCTCTTTACCCTGTACAAAAAGGGTTGTAACTCTTATAGCTTAGCATTGTATTTCAGACCTTCCAGATAACAGCTATTGCTCAGCTGACTTTCACAAAAAAAACTTGTCCTTCTCTGTTTAGGGCCAGTACTTCTAGTGGTTTTTCAATACTAGGCTTGATAGCCATTGAGAAGACAGTCCCTGGTCCTCAGTAGCTTGGTCTTGTAGACTTGCTGAATTGCCACAGTCTTGAATATTTGTAGATTCCAAATAAAACTCTTTTGGGAATTGACTTGAACTGTGATTTAAAGATGACTAGCCACATTTTACATTGCCTAAAGTTTTTATGCTGTTACTAATTTAATGATGTGAAGCAAAAGGAATTGATGCTTTTGCAAAAACAGCTCAGTGTAGGCCGAAACAGGGACCCATAATTGGTTGAGCTGGGGCTTCACTGAATGACAAAATGTTATTATAGATGTATTAGAAAGCCTATAGATACTTAAGATTTGTTTATTTTCTGTCTTTGTGAGACTGTTGTTTCTTTTTTTCCTAGATAAGCAACGTCTTGTTTTTCGTTTTACCACCCATATGTATGTGCTTGTTCCGTCAATATGCAATCTGCTTCAACAGTGGAATATATTTAATATGGATTCTGCTAGTCGTGGTTGGTAAGTTGGTTAGTATGTGTTTGCCAACTGTATGAACTGAGAGAGGAAATTAGTTTTTCCYTCTTCCACCTGACTGTTTTGCAAAACAAAGCAGTCTTGACATCTGTGGAAGAGTTTGCTTAGACTTGCTTAAAGCAGAAGCAACCGTAGTTTCTGAAAGGATAATGCCTTTTGCATACTGGTTGGTGGGAAGTTTGATCATTGTTCTATTCTCTTCCAATTCTCCCTTTGCATACTTTGTTTTTTTTTATATTTGGGCTTACTCTACAGCAGTGCTGACCCTCTTTCCTCAGCTTAAATGAGAGTTGAAGTGTCAGTGCAACTGTAGTAAGAGAGTAATAGGTTTTTTGTTGTACTGAGAAAGCCCAAAGATGGAGRTATGAGATTCTGAAGCCTGTTCATTCCTGAAGACACTTCAAGGGATAATCAGAGCCCCCTGGGGCAGTGTGACACTTTGTACCTGTAAACCTGTATCACGGAGTAGTCACCAGATTCTGCTTTTTATCTTTTTTTTTCCCCGTTCTTGTGCTACTGAGAAAATTCAGAAGCAACTTTTGGCTTTTATTTCTTAAYTGATTTTGCTTTATACTTTTCCACCTGGTGTTTCTTCATATATATATCTTTTCTAGTAGGGGCTGAAATTTTTAGCTGCTATTTGTGTAATGTGTTTTTCTTCATGATTAATGAAGGGCTGATGACTTAGATTGCCTCTTAGTAAACCTGATGTTTGCTTTCTGGTTTTCTCTTTTTATAACCTTTTCTAGACCGAATGGTAGCCACCATTTCCTAGAATCCCTAAACATGAGCAGTGTGTTTCAGACTATGATGGTACTGCAGCTATTCATAATGTCTTTTGATTAATTCTTCCAGGAATTGGATCTGTTTATTTCCACGCCACCCTCAGCTTCTTGGGCCAGATGCTGGATGAGCTCGCTATTCTCTGGGTTCTCATGTGTGCTCTTGCTATGTGGTTCCCTAGGAGATACCTGCCTAGAGTATTTCGAAATGACAGGTARTCATACATGTACACTTTTGTGTTTTTTGAAACTTCCTATGCTAACTCTTAAACCTGCACATAATGGCACCAAGTCATCAACCTTACCACTATCACTGCTATTTTTTGTCCCTCCATTCTCTTGGAAGAGAAGTCCAYGTTGTTCAGAATTGCTGAATCTGCAGTTGCTGATGGTAGGGTTTGTGCCTTGTAACTTCAGGTGATTAGATGAGGTGACTTGCCTCTGTAAGTGTTGTTGATGATTCTAGGGAGACTTTTACAATGAATAGTTTATATAATTTACAGCTAATATGGGAGAAAACATCTTTCACTCTTTCTTTTGAATATCCTGAAATGCAAATACAGATGGACCTGTGGAAGTGAGCTGAATGTTCCTGTGAATTTTTTAGGCAGTGGTTAAGGATGGTGTTTAGGTATTTAAAGGTTAAATGTTTTTTTAGAAACTATTATTGTTGTAAAGGGATTTTTTTTTCTTCTTGCAGGTTCAAGAAGATACATCATAGCCAGTTTAAACCATTTGGTTGTGATTTGCTCCCCCATAAAAAATTGTGCTATAAACATTGTACATATTGTTCTTTTATGCAGTAAAGAAGTTGAGGTAATGAAGAGGCTTGAATTGCAGCATCAGTGTTGTTCTCCCTGGAGATTGCTAGGTCTGCTGCCTTTTACCCTCTTACACTCTTACTCTCTGCAGAGATTTTTTAAATTTGTTTGTTTGATTGTTGGGGTTTTTGATAGTTTTTTTTCTTGATGTGTGCCATATTAGAAGTTGCTGGTGTGTGGAGAGACATTTGGCAGCTAGACTGGCCGTTTCTCAAAATTGCTTGCCCTGGGTAGAGTGTGTCTTTAATTACTGCGTACAGCCTGTGTGCACAGCCCAGTTCTCTTCAAAATCTTCCAAAGCACCTTGGACTTGGATGCAGGACTCGAAAGAATACTAAGTTAAGTTTCATGATCACATTAAAATGGGAAGAGCTGTCAAATCCGTTGTGGGCAGAGAGGCCACCACAAATGAGACCGGTCACCAGCCGGGTGAAGTTCAACAAGGAAAACTGCCAGACTGAGCACCTGGGGTGGGGCAATCCTGGATGTAYGGACAGAYTGGGGAGTGAGGTGCTGGAGAGCAGMRCCATGGAAAGGGACCTGGGGGTCCTGGTCAGTGCCCAGTTGAMCATGAGCCAGCAGRGCCCTKGCAGCCAGGAGGGCCAAGCGTGTCCTGGGGGGCATCAGGCACAGCATCACAGCCGGGCAMGGGAGGGGATTGTCCCGCTCTGCTCTGACCTGGGGCRGCCTCACCTCCAGKGCTGGGGGCAGATTTGGGMAATGCAATAGAAAGAAAGGCATTAAACTATTAGAGAGCATCCAGAGGAGGGTAATGAAGATGGTGAAGTGTCTGGAGGGGAAGCTATGTAAGGAGTGGCTGACATCTCTTGGTTTGTTCAGTCTGGTGAAGAGCAGATTGAAGTGTTGTGGTCTTCAACACCCTAATGAAGGGAAGAGAAGGTGCAGGAGCCGCTCTCTTCCCTCTGGTAACCAGTGACAAGATGCATGGAAATGGCCTGCAGCTGAATCAGGGGAAATTTAGGTTGTATATGAGGCAAAGGTTCTTCACCCCAAGGATGGTTGAGCACTGGAACAGTCTCCCCAGGGAAGTGATCACAGCACCAGCCAGCCAGAGTTCAAGAAGTTTTTGGACACTGCTCTGAGGCACATGGATGGGACAATGCTCTGAGGCCTTGGGATGATGCTGCGCAGGGCGAGGAGTTGGATGTATTGATCCTTCTGGGTGCTTTCCAACTCACCATGTCCTCTGATTCTATGTGGTTTAATGGCATTGTTGTGTTGGTGTAAATTTAGTACTTCTGCATATTATGGTATAGTGCTGTTACAGAACACCATCAGCTTAACAAGCAAACAGGTTTTACTGGTGTCTTTTGGTTTATGGTGTGACTCTTCAATGTTCAGTTCAACTGAAGAATTCAGAGTCTGAATTTGTGTGTAATTTATGTAAACTCTTTAAATGAGTCTCCTGAGGTTACATTTCATCAGTGTCTTCTGATATGGCAGGCTAAGTTCATAGTATGGACCAAGATGTTAAACTATTGGTTTTTAAAGGAATAGTAACACTTTTGGGGTAAAATACTGTTCCATTTGAACTTTGTGTTGAAACAATAAGTAGTAATCTCTCAGGTTATAACTGATCCATAAAAATTCTGAGATGAGATTAAGGGTCCTATGGTATCCTTCCACTTCTCAGAGAATCTGTCAATGCGGTTACTTTTTAGGGAAGATTTTGATTCCTTTCGGAAGTGTACATACATACATGAGCAGCAAACCCTAATCTAGAGCAGATTTGGTTAATGCTTTTGTTTGTTTTTTTTTTTTGCTTTGCCTGACTAATCCTGTATCCTTAAGGCTATAGACTTTGCTTTCTTCATCCTCGTCACACTTCGAATTTTCAATGCTGACAATGTTATTATTGATCATGAGCAATTAGTGATATATTTATTCATTAACACGTTCATGTCAAATCAGAACTTCCTACTTAAGTAACTTGTTGCCTTCCAGCAACAGTTCCAGTTTCCAGAAGGAAAAACTTTAACGCAAAAAGCAAGATAAATGAGCCAAGGTGAAGGTGATCACATTTGTGGCCGTGSAATGGTCCTGTGCAAATATATTGAGGCCCTACTTCAGGCATAGAAAAACCATCCTTGGACAGCAAATATTTTTAAAAACTGTGTCCCAATAGTTGAAGGGCAATGTGATGATCCTCTGCTTGCCATAGACCAGTCACAAACTGGAAATGGGTTGTTTAAAGTTCAAACCTGAAGTTTAAACAACAGGTAACATATATTTAATTTAAAAGTTATCAGGCTGTCTACATAGAGTGCAATAGTGTTTTCATTTTTGCTAAGAATTTACCAAATCTTAATCTTATTATAAAAAGTCTGGGAATTTCTCACCTATTGTTGAATTTGATTAACATAAATGTTCTTACTTACTATGTAGTTTTCAGTATCTTTGAAGGCTCTAAAGAGATAAAGGAAAGTAAAGCAGCCTGTAATGTTGCTGTAGAAGCTGGGGCATTAACAATAACAAAATAACCTAAAAATCCATGTTAAATGCTTGAAGAATGATGAGACTGAACTCTCATCAGTTTTATTTTTTTTTTGAAGGAGTACAGTGCTGCACTCTGCTGTGCAGAGATGGACCTAAATTTTGTTACATTATTAAATCAATTTTAAGATCTCTGGTTTTAGTAATTAAAAGTTTTGAATTAAAAGTAGTTTTTCTGCCTGTATAAACTTTATTCAGGAGCCGATTTAAAGCTGCTGTGGGTGTCCTGTCTGGAGTTACCACCTGTCTGGCCTTCATTAAGCCTGCCATCAACAATATCTCGCTAATGACCCTKGGTGTTCCCTGCACCGCTTTACTCATTGCTGAGTTGAAGAGGTGAGTACAATTCTCCTGAATGCAGTGTTGCCTTCTCAGATCCTTAGGACACTGTGAAATTATACACTAGATCTGTCTTCAGTGCTTGTGGCAGCAGATAAGAAATGCTTCTTCCACATGCAAAAGCAAATCTAGTATAAACTAGATTTGGCAGTTCAGACATTTTTGACATGGATTTTTTTTTCCCTAGGCCATTACTCTAGGTCAGACATTTTCTGTGTTCTTGCTGCAACCTGATCAAACTCAGATTTGGTTATTTATTGTGGAATCAGGGCATGGTTTTACTTTATGAACAGCATTTCTTCTGTACAGTGTGCRTAAGGGTGAGGTGATGGCATGGGTGCAGTCTGGATACTAGCTGGGAATGTCATGCAAGGCCCAAGCATGTGTGGAAGATGTTTCAGCTCTCGAAGTTGAACTGACAGTCTTGTATCACTTTGTCTTCTGATATGACTAGTATGATGGAGTCAGGGTGACAAAGATAAGGTTAATCACTACATTTTGGAGAGCAGCTATCAGTCAGGGCTGTAGAAACCAGAATGCAAATAGAGAAGAATCTGAGACTGATTTCCACATTTTAGAGAGTTGTTCTGTTGTAGTGATACCAGCAGCTGCCCAGAGACATTTTTTTTTCATCTCTTCACCCAAAATAGCCAGAGGAGTGCTAGCATTTGAACTTGTCCTTTTTCACCTCTTCTCCAGTGTCTGAGGATTTTACAACTTAYGTTGGCTCTTATATGTTGCATATGTTCATCAGAAGAAGTGAGTCAGGACAAAATGTCTTCATTCTGAGTGCATCTGTTAGAGTGGAGATTTTTCTGTTTGCTACATTACGCTGGTCTGCCAGTGCTTCAGTATACAGTGGAAGCCTCTCCTAACAATGTTTTGTAAGTGTTGATGAGTCCTTTCTCATTAGACATCCTGCTATGTATTTCTGTGGTCAAAGACACTTGGGAAACAGCATACAACTTARTTGTGGACAAGATCAGTAGCAGAACAACATTGGTGGTGTCTCATTCTGATGACAGCGTGAAGGAACTACTGACAGGACAGAGGGACATATGGTTGTGGTGCTGCATAATCTCTGTGAATTGTCTGTCACTTCTATATCAGTTTTCCGGCGTGAGTGCCTGAGAAACTTAAAAGGTCAAGTTGTCAGTACCTCCTAAGTTTCAATATGTTGCTTCAAATTCAGGAATTGACATGCCAATAGGTGTTTGTTTTTTAAAATACTTTCTGAAAGTATTTTAGTAAGACATGACTAAAATATCTGCAAATTCCCTGTTGTTTTTTGTGTTTAGAGAGAGAATTAAGAACACAGACCTTCTTTTTCAATTGGTAATTGAAAAGGGAGCTGAAGTGACATTGGACCCTCTGTGGTTGTGCATTGGGGTGATTTAATACTTCTAATATTTTTTGATGAATTCTTAAGTGTAAAAGACAAATAAAAAGATTTTCTTTTAAGCTATGTTGATCCTTTGGAGTTTTAAGAGATACATTCTTGTAAACCAAGAAATAAGGAGTCATCTCATCCCCTTTTGCAGGGGAAAAATTAATCTAAACTCCCTGTCTTGTATTTTAGACCAGAATAGCCTGTTTTAGGCTGTGTCAATTTTGTACAGAATTCTGGGAAATCAGAACCACCATGTTTTCAAATGAAAATCTGCCTTGTATTTCATGAGATAATATTGTCACAAAGTTCACAAAAAGTTCATTACATTCTTAGATGTGGACCTGGTAGAGTAGAGTATATGGCTGGGAAGTACTGTGTGTAGGAGGTGGTCAAAAGAGCAAAAGGTAGTCAAGGATTGAAAACCAGAAATTGTTAAACTGTAATGTAATTTCTGTCACAACAAATCCCTTCCTGTTCTTAAAAAAAAACCAAAAAAACAAACAAACAANAAAAAAAACATAAAGAAAAAGCTCTCCTAGGGGATGGTATCAGTGGGAAGATATATATGTATCCTTTGATTTGCCTAGTCCAAGCCGTTGGGATTATAATGTCATCAAATTAGTAGTTATTTAGGAAATTACCATCAGGCATATAACTTTCTCCATGTCCAGATMCATGCTATAATATTGTTGCTCAGCTGACTTTTGAGCCTTTAGCAGTGAAGATTTACCCTAGTTTCTGGTCTGGCCATTAATATTCGATTCTTCTGCTAGAAATCTGGCTGGGGCAGGGTGGCGGGGGAGCTCTGCTTCATTGTTACAGGTTTCTTTATTCCCTTGACTAAAAGGTTAAACCAGTTAAAAGTTTAAAATATTCTGTAGGATAGAAAGGGAGATACCTGTGTAAAATTCARTCAGTCAACATCCAGCAGTTTGCACTGGTTTGAAGAAGAGCTGGTACGCTCTTTTGGGGGTTCCAGGATATTAGYAGATAATGCTCCTGGAAGCGTGTACCAGCCCAGTCCCTTAAACAAATAACTGGAGCTCACAAGTGTTTGCAGAAATGCTAATATTTAAATAACTGTTCTTTGTCAAAGAGAGAATATATGCTTTGTGTAGACAAAARTGGAAATAGAAACGCAAGATTTGTGGGGTCCATTTTCTGGGATAGGATAGAGTMGGATAGGATCAGGGCAGCATGAACGTGTCTTTTAGACCATCACTAACAAGTTCTGTTTCAGTTCTGATCAGAATCTCCTTATCGAGAAAGAAAAGAAAGGCTGCGTGCCCYGGTGGTATTTGCATTACATAAAAGCAGTGGCTTTGCAATCCCCTGCCTCCTCAGCAAGCATGTGCTCAGCCCGTTTGAAGCACAGTTACTGCAGAAACTTCAGACTCCATGATGGGTGATCTGAGAAAACCCAGGAATAATTAAAGAGGTCGGCAGGCTGTGCACGTCTGATTGTGATTGACTCTTCCTTCCTTAAAGTAGTCCTTTGCAGAACTCTATGRCATCTAGTCTTAAGTTTATAAAAGTAATTTGCAGTACCTGCTGGTGGTACTGAGCAAAGCTGTCATTACAATCTGTGCCATTTCTATGGCATATCTTGTTTTGGGTAAAGAAGCCTTCAGTTTTCCTTTGCACCTTGGATTCTTTGAACCCTGGAGGTTAATTGCTCTTTCCTCTTGGTATTCAGATTGTCAGGTCCTGACTAAAGGAGCTCTTAAGTTTGAGGCCAAACCTCTTATCTAATATGGGATGCTGTTGCACGTRTTTATATCCTTCAAACACATTCAGGAAAGCCTCCGTATTCTCAATACACACACCCTTTCCTCTGTCAGAACACACAAGTACCCATCTCAGTAGTCTGTTTATATCTGTCAGATAAAAAATTGATTCATATGTGTATCTGCTCAGCTACATGATTTAGTGATGTTAGGAACAGTTGTACCTCTCACTGAGGATTGTAAATGCCTTAGYATTAACAGGAGTCTTTATACAGTAACAAACGCAGTCAAATCTGAGCATTTGTAGCATGGCTGGTTGTTARTGAAAAGCATGTGAAACTAATTGACTGAGGTTGATTTTATAATGAAACTCTATTTCTATATTCCATCTGCTTTTATGCCTGAAATATGCTTATACCTTTAAATACAACCCAAATAAACCCCCCCAAAAACAACTGAAAAAGCAGCGCGGGCAGTTAAAAGCCGAGACTGCCGTGCGCCTAAGCCTTTTAAAAACTCAACTAAGCAAACTCACCTCACTGTGTGCAGAGCAGTTACATTGTTACTGCTTAACTAATTCAACTTTATTAACTAAACAAACAACTCTCCCTAAATTGCCACCCCTTCCACAGCTCCTGTAATTTACTTCTAAAACAATTCAACAAATTTTCAATCCAAAAACCAAAAAAACAAACACCATCAGCTGGGGGTTGGCAGGGACAAACCACAAACACCACTCCATCTCATCCCAAACTCCAAAAAAAAMCCAAACCAAYGAAAAACACACACCAAACCCTCAATCTCATCCACTATAAAAAAAACTACCACCAAATTCCCACTATTACCCAAACAACCACATAAACTTTTATTTCTTTTTCCCTAAAACAAAAACCACTCCATCTTTCCCCACACCACATACTAAACAACTGTAAAAAAAAGAGTAACATACATTCTTAAACTTTTAAAATCTAACAGTTACTTTTTTATCTATATTCTACAAACACCTTATTTTATTAATAAACTATTTTTCTCTTCACATTCACCCAAACATCTATTTCATATTAGTGAAAAAAAATTACCAAACTTCTTTTCACTTAAAAAAAAAAWTATCCCATAACATTTCTCTCTAAAAACATTATCTCAAACCAAAACAAATTTGGCACCAAAATGTGGGGCTTGAAAAGGTGAAGAGAAAAATAATAATAATTACATTCTAGTTTTGAATACTTAGTATTAGAGTACAGTTAAAAGTCACCATGCTGTTGGAAGTAATATTATTATTCTAGTCTCTAAAYTTGTTTGCCGGTCCACAGATAGGGMCAGTTTTGTCCCTTGCATAAAARTTTTACAGATCAAAAACACAAATCAGAATTGCTAGACTTATRAGTGTAGTAGTAATGATTTATAAARGTTTAAGAGAAGTATTAAAAGCTTTTGAAAATTAGTATGCTCTGTTGTTTCTCTCTACTAGTCTTAGTAACCTGTTTTGGAGTTTTGTTAGTATTTACAGCCAGTCTACTATGGGAAAAGTRAAGAATAATATTTCCCAACCTTTCATCTCCTTCTTCCCCTTCAAATCTAACACATCACCTTTTAAAAATGTTCAATTTCCCCTAGATACTAAAATTACAACTTTCCTAGTATTTAGTCTCTACATAAATTTCCTCTACATAATCTGTAACTTACCTAAAATAAAGACTGAAATTTCAAAAAAAGCTCCTCAAACACATCCCCCAAATGTAAAAAAATCTGAGTAGTGTAAAGTATAAAAGAACATAAASCAAATACTAAAAAAATTCTCCAAACCAATAACTTTTAACTTRCCTCCTAAAAAAATTCAAAACCCAACTGAAGGAAGAAAAAAATCTAAAAAAAAGTGC